CCCCCTCCCCTCCCTCCCTCCCTCCCTCCAAATACTTCCTTAGCTTGATAAAATGTGGCGATCAACCACTGTGACTCTAGTTGCAACACACGTGACAAGAGTCTCTACCAGCAAAAAATCAGCATGGAAATAGAGACATTTGAGCCCAGGTCCTTCGGGACATCCGTTAAATTGGAACGATACAGAGAAAGTAGATTAGAATCGCCCCTCCCTGCGGAAGGATGACACGCATTTGAGCCCAGGGGAAGCGGAACGAAAGAAAGGACAATCAGCAGGGACAGAAGTCGGAAGAAATTCTACTACCTGAGGTAGTTGCGAGTCAAAACCAAGTCATCCAAACCATAAAAATAAAAATAAAAATAAAACCATAAATCACAATCTTGCTCAGTACCAAAAGATTCACCGAACAGCAATGCATGGCCACAACACACCATGTCTGGAACCAGGCAAAGTTCGACAACAGTAAAGCTGGTCCCCCTTGGCAACAAACCTGGTCTCAATGTACTAATGTAGTAGACCTGGTCCCACTGCAATACTAGAATTGCGTCTTAGACAACGAGTATATACTGCAATGAACCCCAGTCCATCGGAAAGCTCGTCAGGTCTAAGCACAACAAGATGTCTTAGCCCTGACGCCAATGTCTCTAATAATCATGAATGTGGTCCAAGTACAATGTCTCGTAACCAGGGACGAAGTAGATGGGGGGGGGGGGAGGTTAGACTTAAGAGGGGGGAAGAGAAGGAGAAGGTATCGATCTCCGTCTTAACACCCTCCTACGTCAGGTACGTTCCCTCTGTCTACGTCAGCATACAGTATATCCCTGGATGAGCCTTGACAAGAACCGACCAATCACAGCAAAGTGCCACGTAGGCACAGATCTCCCATGAAGACGTCACAGCAGCACGGAATGTCTCGACAGCAACAATCAGGTAAGCTTCCCTCTCTCTCTCAACCAATCTCACAGTCCTGATCTCCCTGCTCGTCGATACCCCAATCTGTGTCGAAGACAATGTGGCAAGCGCCACACCAGCAATCAAGATTCCAGCTGGCGCCAAGAACAGAGGCGCCAACAGCACAATGCAGCAGTCTCGCGTCGTCGTATCACGCACTCCCAGCATCGTGCCAGCGTCGAGCCAGCGTACAGCCAGCGTCGTGCCATCATCGAGCAGCAGTCTCGCGTCGTCGTCTCCCGCAATGCCAGCGTCGTGCCAGTGTCAAGCCAAAGAACAGTCAGCGCTGTGCCAGGGTCGAGCAGCAAGTGCAAGACTCAGTGTCGATGACAGGGGGCCGGTCAATAAGTAGTGTCGAAGCAAGTTGACTTGCCTCTGGTCTCCTGGATACGAGGGCTCAGATAGACTCGTAGTCAATGGCCTGGATCTCATACAGTTGCAGACTTCCATTTGGACCAGATTCTGCATAGATACCTGCGAACAGCCAAATGTGTGTGTCCGATCGGTGGCCTGGACTGGGTTCGTGTAGACTTTGACTCGCGATCCGGAATTTCCGGGCTACAATTGACTATTGACGCTCTTCAATCAACTGTTGGGCGTAGGGCCTCCAAAGCCTCGTTTCAGGGACTCGTCTGGGTACGGTCCAGCGTGGGCTTCGCTGTGGCCAGTGGGCGACCCCTGGCCAGCGACAGTAGCATATTTGAGCGAGTTATTACGATACATTAAATAAGCGTTTAATGTGAAGTCAGACCTGCCCGGCCCACGTATGCCCATTGCCCTTCCAATACGCCCAAATGCCTCCCCTGTCAAACATAGTCCGGAACTCAGGTGCAACAGTAGATCAGCCCAGTGGCAGCACAGCTCCTCTCTTAGATCACATGTGCACACGCGCATCCTCTACCAGGTGAACTAGCACCCCCATACTGTTCTTACCTTTCGAAACCGAAAAGCTCGCTTAGGAATTTTTTAACACCCTACCCGCCTGTTTTCGGAATATAATGATCTCCGTGTTAAGGAGGGGGGGGGGGGGGGGGAACCTGCTCGCCTGGTAAAAGTCGAATTTGAAGCAAACTTACGACCACGAAAGCAATTGCAAACACAGCACCGGAAATTTTTATTTTCATTTATTATTATTATTATTATTTTTAAAACAGGACCTTATGGTCCTGGCTCCATGTCCATTCTGGGGAGCGTCAGTCCGGTTCCTATTACACCGGCAAGTCAGAATGAAATATTACATCGAAAACACGCTCATGCTCCTCCCCATTATGGCTGGGCGGCCCGAGTGGACAGCATTGATTACTTCCATAGGAAGGATGTACCACCCCTCACCCCTGCCTAAGTTATGCTCCGGATTCCTATCATGCCTGAACCTCTGAATGCAGCAGCAGCAGCAGCAGCAGCAGCACCAGATTCTGTCATTCTGACTCGCACACAGATGAGAAGAACTCAATCAGGGGCCAGTGGCGGCCGAGCTCAGTTGGTGGAGCACATAAGTGGGGCATACAGGAAGTCGTGGGTTCAATTCCCACGTGCCCATGCCCCCGCTCCCCACAGCACCCCGCTCCGCACAGCCCCACGCGGCTCTCACCCAGCTGAGATAGTTGGCTTGCACCCCCTGGTTGGTCTTGGTAGAGGCTTCTGCATGCCTTTGTCCCTCCCATCCATCACTACCGTCTTCCCCCGAACATAACGCACCTTGAAAATGAACGTATACAAGGCATGTTTCCGGCCCGATACAGGCAAAATGGGGGTGCATTGTGTTCGGGGGAAGACGGTAGGGGTTAGGTTCAACCCTGAGGGGATAGGCTCAACCTCGGGTATAGGTAGGCCAGGATATCTTAGGACGATTAGCTGTGAGCCATTACCTATAACTTCCAGCATTCCAGGCTATGTGCTTGGTATATACCATATACGTTCAGCTCGACTTACGGCTCATCTGTGGGTGTTGGTAGGTAGCTAGTGGGATGCTGACATAACGTTGATTAAAAAAAAAAAAAAAAAAAAACTGAACTACTGCGGTCAAGAGTATGCTCCTGAGGACAGACAATCAACACCATACTCGAAACAATGCAACAACCCAACGCACGCTACGCCTATTCGTCTCCCCTCCCTCAGTGGGTTCGCCGCAAGCCCTTACCCGGCTCCTGCCCACTCATAGGATCATACCATTCCTAACCAAAAAAACACCAGGCCTATCATGTTAAGCCTCCTCAGCTTGAACC